AAAAAAAAAAAAAAAAGTTGCATTTTATGCACAAAGTAAGTGTCCCCGTGAACAGGATTAACGGAACCTTTAGATGCCCCGCCCTCCTTGGTCCTGCCACTTAGCCTGCCACAGCCCACCCAGCTCCTCCTGAGGACCCCTGCAGGCCTCACCTGGAGCAGGGGGCAGGACCCCAGTTCTCTGAGCTACTGGGGTCAGCAAAGGCACAGGCTGCTGAGAAATGAGAGGTTTGGAGTCGGCCCAGAAAGTTCGCGGAAACGCAGCCTCCCAGAAAGTTGTGCCTGATGCTCGTGCCCCGTCACACAGTGCAGTTTGGAGGGCGATTTGGGACTCTCCATAAATCCAGCCGAGGAAGTTCTCGCGGCAAGTCGAGCAGGCAGGCTGGGGGCCACGGGCCAGACACAGGGCCGTCTTGGGTAGTGAGGCTGTTGTCACAACGGGCCGCCTTCATCCCGCCCTCTTCACCTCCCCAGACAGGCCTCTGTCCCCTTGAAGCACCATTCTCACTGCACCCCTCCTCCTTCTGTCCAGTGAGCCTCACATGCCAGCAGAGGGACCCCGCTCCCGCCTTGCCATCTGAGGCCCGACCACCCTGACCCCCGTGTGGTTCCAACCTCCCTGGCGGGTTTCCTTTCAGTTGCTTTCCTGCCTCAGTTACCCAGCAAGGATCGAGACCTCCACCACACTCTCGGGGAGGTGGGAGGGGGAGCTGTTCTACTTCTCTGGCCTCAGCTCGCTCATCTGTGAAACAGGGATGGTCATAGTTCCCCACCTCACGGGGGGTTGTCAGGTTTAAATATAATCGCCCAAAACGCGGAGGCACCATGCTTGACGTGTGTCCAGAACATTCCGTGTCACTTGCGACTGAGCCCCGCCCTCCTGCTGCCAGGGAATGTGATCATGGGGGTGGGTGTCCGAGTCCTCACCAAGACGGAAAGCACCTGGAGGCCTTTCCCCCCCAGCCTGGAACCCTCAGTCTGCTCGCAACCAGGGCAGTCAGTGACTGCAAAGAGACGCAGAGACAAAAATGATCCCGGGGTCCTAGTGGACCTTCCTGATTCAAGAATGTTTTGTAAGCAGCCTCTCGTTACACCAGCCAGTTCAAAGGGACAGTCCTTAACCAGTTATTCATTTTCCACACGCTTCTATGATCGAGGCCTGTGGCTGCGTGCTGGGGGCAGATGCCCAGAACATAGCTCGCCCGCAGGGGAGGAGCTCCCTGTCCGGGTGGGTGCCGGGGGCCATGCCTGTCACCTGTTTGCAACGACCCCACCTGAACCCAGCCCCACAGAGAAAGGACTAACCAGCAGTAGAATGCCTCCTTGCACGGAGACTCTTGCTTCCAGAACGTCAGAGTACAGCTTCCCCTGTGACTGCGTGATACGCTGTGTCTTGCATTGCCAGTTTCTGCTGGGCGTCCCGTCACCCTAGGAGGTGGTATCACCACTGCCTCACAACTGGGGTGACCGAGGTTTGGGGAAGTTGAAGAACTCGGCCAGTGTTCTGCAGCCTGCAGGGGGCCGAGCTGAGACTCCTACCCGGGCACCCTGACCCTAAAGCAGGTGCTGGCGACCCATCCTGGGAGGGATCGTCCCCCGCACCCCCTCCTCCAGACTGCACTAGGAAGCGGGGGGCGCTGCTCACACCCCGCCCGAGGGCTGACACGTGGTGATGGCCTTTGTAGCTGTCCCAGCAGCCGGGACACACGCAGTCATTTCTTCGGCAGCATCTGTCACCCGCTGCTGCTGGCCGGGCTGCCGTCCTGGGACCCGGGTACACGCCAGGAAACCGAAGTGGCACATCCCTGCTCTCGCGGCGCACGCGCTACGGCTTTTCTCTGCGAGCCCCGCGGATGCAAGGATTTTTTGTCTGGCTCATGCCTGCCGACAGCATCCGTCCGTGAATATGGCTGGGTTGAATGACCAGTATCAGGCAGCAGGTTGGAGGGAGCCCAGGGCTACTCTCGGGTGAGTGGTCAGGGAGGGCCGCTCAGAGAGGACGGTCGAGCAGGGTCTGCCGTGCGCTCGCACCGTGCTGAGCTCTCCACGTGGATTGTCTCATTCAGTCCCCAGAACAACACCCTAAAGTACCTGCGGTATTATCCCCGCGGTAGAGACCAGGGCACCCAGGCCCGATAGTCATCCCGGCTTGTCCTTGCAGAGCCGGGATTTGACCCGGACTCTCTCTGTCCCCAGACCACAAGCCATAGCTCCAGCTCCATGACAGCCCCAGAGAAGGGGACAGCCCTCGGCCTCCTTGGCTCTGGCCATCTGGAAGTCGGGCCTTCTGCGACAGGGCTGTTAAACAAGGCAGGATGTGCCCCAGGCCACACAGGGACCTTGAGCGTGGCTCCTGGTCTGGTGAATCAGAAGACCTTGCTGGGTGGGTGGGCGGGGCTCCGTGCCGGGACCCTTCTTCTCGGGAGGGGCACCTGGCCTTCTGACACCAGCTCTTGCCCTGGGAGGTCAGGCCCCCTGATTGTGTTCCCCGCCTGCTGGCTTTGCCCCTGCACGGCCCTTCCCTCTGCGCCCCGGGAAGAACGGCTCCTGGCGGGGGCACTGGCGGAGGACGGTGCTGCATCCAGACCCAGCAGCGAGCTGAGGGGTTCGGCCTGCTCCGTCATCGGCTGTGACCTCGTGAGGTGCTGCGGGACCCCGTGGCCGCCAGAGCAGCCGGGCTGCAGGTGTCTCCTGGGCCCCTCCGCGCCTGGGACGCACACGTTACCAAACAACAGAACAAAGCCCCACACCCGGTACTGACCCAGACCTGCGTCAGACGCCATGTATTTCCCACGTGTAAAGTCATTTGATCTCTGTAACTTGAAACAAGCGGTGTCGACCCCCTGCCCCCCTCTTAAAGACGGAGCAACGGAGACTTGACGAGGTCAGACGACTTAACCCGTCACGCTCATTTGCTCACTTCTTGTGGAACCGCTGTTCACTGAGCATCTACTAACGGATTGTCTGTGTCCAGTCCCCCCGCTGATCTGTGGCTCAGCCAGAGCGCCTCCCCTCCCCTTCCTCTGGTCCAGGGGTCAGGGCCCCCTCTGGGTGTCTGTGGGCCGAGAGGCGGTCCCGCAGCCCCGCTGTAACTCCCCTGGCGCTCCGTCCCCACAGGAGAGCGAGGACGCCGTCAAAGCCCTGGCTAAGGAGAAGGACCTGCTGGAGCGTGAGAAGTGGGAGCTTCGGCGCCAAGCCAAGGAGGCCACGGACCACGCCACGGCGCTGCGCTCCCAGCTGGACCTCAAGGACAACCGGATGAAGGAGCTGGAGGCCGAGCTGGCCATGGTGAGACCCCACCCCCCCCCCTCACGCAGCCGGGTCACCCACGACGTGCTGCGGGGGACAGGGCGCACGGACAGGGTGGGCGGAGGAGAGGGTGTGGCTGGGCGCGGGGTCTGCTGTCTGCTCAGGTTGACCGCTGAGCCCGGGCCACAGCCTCTCCTCCACCTGCAGGGATGAAATCCACCACACTCCCAGGCCACTGTCAGCAAAGAAACCAAGCCCGTCTTGATTTAAAATACACATATTTAGGGGCACCTGGGTGGCTCGGTTGTCAGGTCCAGCCTCAGGTCATGATCTCACGGTCCACGAGTTCGAGCCCCGCGTCGGGCTCTGTGCGGACAGCTCAGAGCCTGGAGCCTGCTTGGGATTCTGTGTCTTCCTCTCTCTGCCTTTCCCCCACTCACACTCTGTCTGTCTGTCTCTCTCTCTCTCTCAAAAATAAAAACATAAAGAATATTCTAAAATACACGTATTTGTTTAGGAAAACATTTGCCTTGGGAGGAAATGCACCAAAAAATTAAGAGTGGTCATTTTCTGGGTAGTAGGATTGTAAGAGATTTTAGTTCCTTTGTTTCCCCTCCTGTTTACATCTCTAGTGAAATATGTGTTACTTGGGTTGGCAAGGAAAAAAATGTTATTCTTTTTCTATTCCAAAACAAACCTTCAAAGTACTTCCAAACTCTGTGTTTTCCATGGAGGTGACCAGCCTGCATGTGGGGACAGAGCACCCAGGTGGTATGTCCGGGCCTGGTGGGAGGGGTCCAGAGCCCTGCAGTCCTGTTCTGCCTGCCCCTGCGTGACCTGGGGCCACTCACTGAACTTCTTTGGGCTTCTGCGCCCTTTATCTTGTATCAGAATGGGGGAGATGGTCTTTACTTCACCCTGCCCTCCCAGGAGGTAGCTGGGGGAAGCCCAGGGATCCCATGACTTAAGTAAGGGGCCTTTGAAACCACCAGGGTCTCAATGTGATCGTGGCTGGAAGGAGACTATGCAAGGTGCTCATGAGGGGTGGGGAGGCCCACGCAGCTCTTAGAACTCGGGGTTCTCCCTCAGAGCTCTGACACTGACCAACCATGTGCTGATGGCCATGGGTTCTGGGTTTGAATCCAGCTGTGTGATCTTGGGCAGGATCCTTCACCTCTTGGGGCCTGTTTCGAGTCTAAGTAGGGATAATGGCATATACCCCACGGGGCCTGTATGAAGGTTTCAGTTAAATAATGCAGGGGAAGCACTTAGCACGTGCCCGTACACAGTGATGATACGGTGACACAAAGGTTCTCTACGATCACTTCCTTCAGGATCACTTCCTTCAGGATCGTGGGCCGCACCCGTGGCAGGTCAGGACCCTTGGGCCCCTCCTGGGTCTCCTGTCCAATGCTGACCCCTAGTGGTGAGAACTGCCCAGGCCAGAACAAGGTGCAGCCGCCAGGTCCCCTCTGGGGAGGGCTTTTCCCGGCCCTGAGGTCCCCGGTGCTAAGCCTTTCCCGCCGCAGACCTAGGAAGTGGGTGCAGGGGGAAGCAAGGTTCCCATCCTCCCAGGTCTTCCCAGTGCCCCGTGGGTGGACAGCTGTGTCTTCCTTGCCTCAGAGCACTGGCCTCAAGCATTCTGGGTGTTTCTGGGACTTTTCAGGAGTGGGAACCCAACCACCTCTGTTTCCGCTCTCCCCATGCCCAGACTGGTCAACCTGCTTCCGTTCTGGCCGCCTCCTCTGTGCCCCCTGCTAAAAGTGAATCGTTACGGGGAGTGTGTCCAGCTCCTTATACCATCAGCGGGGCCCGTGTCTGCCTAGGGCTCGGCCGCAAAGCGGGGGGCTCTGCGGAGAAGCATGAGAGCCCCAGCTCTGTCGGGGTGCCCAGCAGACTGGAGGTCTCCTCCGCGGAGCACCATCCAGAGAAGCTCATGTTGGCCAGCGTGCGCCCCGCCGCACTGCTGCCCAGGCCGGGACCGGAGGGAGGGCGCCACCCCTGTGCGCGTGCCTTGCGTCCTCGGGCGCAGCCTGGCTGCTTTGGCGCAGGGGGTGCACTGGAGGGCCAGGCTTAGAGACGGCTCGCAGAATGGGACTCCCGGGTGGCTCGGTCCGTTACGCGCCAGACTCTCGATTTCGGCTCAGGGCACGACCTCACGGTCCGTGGGACTGAACCCCACGCCGGACTCTGCGCACACAGCGCGGGGCCTGCTCGGGATTCGCTCCCTCCTCCTCTCTCGGCCCCTCCCCCCTCCTCAAAATAAACATTTTTTAAAAAAGGAAGAAATGGCTGGCCGAAGCCAAGGCAGCCGCAGAGGTGGGGAAGCCAGGGTTCTAGACGGAGTGGGTCTGCTCGGCCCCCCCGGGGAGCAGGAACCCGAACCCTTTGTCGTTTGAATTTCACCTCCGTTTTTTTGTAAGTCTGAAAATGGCCCATCTTGGGTCACACGGTTACCACTCACCTGGGGGTCCTGGCTGTGGCCACTGGTGATGAGTAATTTCTCAAGTGACCCTGAGGTGCCCCCGAGGAGAAGGGAGCTGAGCTGGTCAATTCCCACCCGCCCATCATGCCGTGACACGAGACCCGTGGGAAGCGGCCTGGTGCCCGGTGAGAACGAGTGGGCCCTGTCCTAGCTTAGGCACCGCCCGCTCCCCGGTCTCCACACACCTTGCGTAGTTGCTTCACCTGAGTAAGAAAGAGCCAAAGGCTTTGGCTTCCCAAGAAGCAAAGCCCCTGGCTGTTCGCTGGCGGCAGCACCCACGCTCCCCCTCGGCCGCCTGCCCTTCGGGTGGACGTCTTCCCGATGACGACTTCCGGCCCAGCCAGACATTCCCGCACGTGGCGTGGCTTCACCCCTGTGGCCGCATTGGCTTTGTGGCACCACCCCGTGGGGAGAATGCATGTATTTTTTAATATGTTGTTTTACTGAGATGTCACATCCCGTGAAACTCAGCCTTGCAAGATGTACAGTTCGGTGGGTTTTAGAACGTTCACAGAGCTGTGCGACCGTCACCAAACAATTCGGTTCTAGAACAGCTTGCACCCCCCCTCCCCCGCCCCAAAAGGGAAACCCATATCCATCGGCCGTCACCCCTCACGTTCTTGTGGTGCCCGCTTTAGGGACGTGGAAGCGGGCTCGGAGGGCGAGAGGCTCACCCAGAGCTGCCCAGCGGGTTGAGAGGCAGAGCTGGGAGTCGGGGAGGCCTCGAGCTTCATGACGTGGAGGCTTCGGCTCCGTGCGGGGCCTCCGTAGGGACATCCGGCTGCTGGCCTGAAGGGGCCCCTCCCCCACCAACCCTCGCATGTCCCTCGGGCCCTCCTCGCTGGCCACCGTCACACGGAGGGGGAGGGAGATGGGCCTGCCAGCCCCCGAGAGCACACGCTTCCCCCAAGGGCAGGCCAGTCCTGCCCCCCAGGACCTTGGTTCGTGTTGACCTAGTTTCCTATCAGCACTGTCTCTCCAGAACAGGAGGCTTTTTTATGTTCACTACACAGTCGGTCAACGGGGCTTCTCACCCTCAGCACTGTTTACATTTGGGGCCAGTCCGTCTTTGTTGTGAGGCCTTCCTGTGCCCTGGAGGATGGCCACCAGCTTCCCTGGCTTCCACCTGCTAGAGGCCTTGGGCACCTCCCACCTGTGACCACCAGAAGTCTCCGGGCATTTCCCAGGGTTCCCTGGGGGAGGTGGGGGTGGGTCTCACCCCTGTGGAGAGCCCGCCTTCTGTAAAGTTGGACGTTTCTCAAGCGTCGAGCGTGGGATGGTCTAATCTTAGCATCTCTCTTAGCCATTCCGTTCTAACGGAGTCCCCGTTGGGTCCCGCCATGTTCGGGCTGTGTGACCTGTGACAAGGGACTTAACCTCTCTGAATCTCAGTTTGCACACATGTGAAGTCAGGGCTACGAGGCCTTCCACGGGGGGGGGGGGGGGGGGGGCGCGTAAGTGAGGGTCACTTACTGACTGGTGTTGGGCACCTAGATCCTGTCTTCAGATTCCGTTCCACTGGCCAGTCACCGTGTGACCTCAGGAGTCACTCTTAACCTGCCTGGGCCTCAGTTTCCTCATCTGTGAAAATGGCAGCAGCCGCCACAGACCCAGGCGAGAGTCGGGCGCGGTGCAGTGGGGGGTGGGGGAGAGGCGGGGTCAGGCGGCAGGGGGATGACGGGAATGGCCCGAGTCTCCATTCCTTTTCTGGAGGCCGTGCTCCGGGTTGGCGCTGCTTCTGCCCTCACTCCCAAGAAACCCGCCTGCCGCAGGCACCACCCCCCGGCCCTGGGCCATTGCCGTCTGGGAGCAGCGGGCCAGACCTCACAGCCTGCTGGTGTTTTCTTGGAGGATCCCCCCCAGCAGCCTTTGGCCAGCAGAGACGTTCCCTGGACAAGCAGGAATCCCTCGGAAAGCTAACGAAGGGTTCCGCTGAGCTGTGCTCCCGGCATCCCTCGGGGGCCCAGGCTTACTGTCCAACATGGAACACCTCCTGGCTGCCGGTCAGCAGACCCTCCAGCCGGTCAGGCGCCTTCATCAGCCCCGATCCAGAGGGAGGCCCCGGGCAGGGTCCTGCCACCCCCTGGATCTTATCGGCCCGTCTTAGGGCATAAATGATCCCACCAACCTCGATCACTGCTTCTTATGGAACATGGCAGTGGTGCAGCTGGCGTCCTGGGCCTTCATTGGACTTAGTTCACGCCTAACTCCTACTTGTGAGGTGGAAGATGTTTCAGGATTTAACAGTCACTAACCTTTATTGAGTATTTTTATCTTAGGCCGGGGCTCTGCATAGCAACTGTGTTATCCCCATCTGACAGAGGGGGGCATGAAGGCACAGAGCGGTGAGGGACCTCGCCCAGGATCCCCCCCCACCAGGAAGTGGCACAGCCGGGCTCAAACCCAGGCAGTCGGGTTTCAGAGCCCAGACTCCAAAGCCCCCTCGTCCCACAACTCCAGGGGGTGCTACTTACATGGCAGTGATCTTCCTCTGCCCCCCCCGTCTTACTGGGGAGGGCCCTGAAGCTGAGGGAGGTGGAGGAACTTGCTGAAGGTCACACAGCAAGTTAAACAGTAGAAGTGGAATTTGAACCCAGTTCTGACTCCAATGTCCAGTAGCTCGAAACTTCGGGTGCAGAGTGCTCAGAGAGGGTAAAGGCTCAGAGAGAAGAGGGAGTCAGAGCTCAGGGGGAGCTCCCAGCATTAACTTGCATTTAGCGGAAGCGGTCAGCCCGAGAAATGCTGTGTAGACTGCCACGGGGAGCGGATCCCGTGTGCGCACATGCCTGTATCTTAAATTAGACTTTACAGGCCGCTTTTTGTAGGTCTTGTCTCTGCCACAAGTGGGCCATTTGTAAGAGGTCCCTGTGCTTCAGAACTCAGGGGTACCACCGCCCCACCCTGCAGGACCAACCACGGGGGACCTCCCAGTTGTCAGGTAGCAATGTCGAGCTGCCTGCTGAGTTAGAAGGTGCCTCTCCCAGGCCTGGATGGAGACGAAGCCCCCCCTGGGAGAAGAAAGCCAGGAGGGGACAGAGAGGGCATCTTGCCTTGGGTTCTCCCGTGCTTCCCGCCTACGTGCCCGTGAATGTTTGCGAGAAGGCCGAGCTGGGGGTTAATTAGCATGATGGCAGATTGACCTGGGGCTTGTGTCTCCACCCAGGGTCCACCTTCCAGGCAGCCGAGATGGATGGGGCCCGGAGGAAGCAGGGCAGCTTAGCACGTGGAGTGGTGCCCGGGATGGTGGGCCAGGAGGCCAGATGCACATGACCTAGAGGGAAAGGAGATGTGTTCCCAGCTGAAGTGCCCTGGCGGCCAGGAAATGAGGGTCTCCATGGTGCTGGGTGGCCGCAAGCCTGTGGCAGCTCGGAGATACACGCCGCTTGCCCCTTCCTTCAGCAGAAGGATTAGTCTGTTGTTCTTGCAGTAAGTTAACACGGCGGATTCCCTGAGCCATCAGCCTGGACACGGCAGGGCCTGCTTCCGTCTATGCTGCGGATTTTTACTGATCGCTGCATGTGCCCTGCCCCGAGCGAGGTGCTGCGGATTTCATGGTGACCAGGCACACCCCATCCTCTGCTTCGTGCACCCAGAGTCTGCATTACTTGTGTGGTTATTTTCCTTGCCGCTGAGGAGCGTGGGTGCCGTGGAAACCCCAGGGCTCAGGGCCAGGCTCCCAGCCTTGGGACCCAACTTGAACATTGTACTTGCTGTGCATTCTTGAAGAAGTCACTTCTCTCAGCTTCCAGTTCCTCCTCTGTCAAGCACAAATAATCTTACCCTCCCTACCTGAAGCCCAGGGCTGTCGTGCTGAGCACATGATAGCTTTCTGGCTTGGGGGACAGGGCTGACACCTTCAACTCAGCCTCCCTCTGCCATGGAAGGGGGGTGATCTCATAGACTTGGGGTGTCCTTGCTCTGGGGTTTTCATTTTACAGGTGGGGAAGCCGAGGCTCAGAGAAGGCAGTACTTTAACTTTTTTTTTTTTTTTAATGTTTGTTTATTTTTGAGAGAGACAGGGAGTGCAAGCAGAGGAGGGGCAGAGAGCGAGGGAGACACAGAATCCAAAGCAGGCTCCAGGCTCTGAGCTGTCAGCACACAGCCTGATGCGGGGCTCGAACTTGTGAACTGCAAGATCATGACCTGAGCCGAAGCCAGACACTTAACCAACTGAGCCACCCAGGCACCCTGGCAGTGATTTTAAACATAGCTGGTCAACGGGATAAGGGTATATCAGGTTTTAAGCCAACGACGATCCATTTCTCTGTTTGGAATCTCTTTCCCAAGAGCTCCTGCTCTGCCAGGAAGAGTGGGACCTTGGGCAAGGTATAGAACATTCTGGAGCTAGGACAGATGAGATTTTTAAATTTTAACCCGTGTTCATATCAGGGTCAAAGCCAGCACTCACGGTGACTCTGTTATCTGTAGCAACGTCCCGGGTTGTCAGGTTCACTGGAGAGCTCGGTTCAAGACCCTTGGGCCCCTGCCTGTGTCCCCGCTCGACCCTGGCATGATCTTGGGGAACCAGTTGAGAAAGAGAAAGAGACTGTGGTGAAAAGAATATGCATTAATGCATGGCTCACATGTGCCCATTTCTCCCCCAAGTAATGTGAGATCACTTCAGTAAAACCCCACCTACGTGGCAGGGAGATCACCCAAGGCTGAGAGATGTTGGACTATCCCTCCTCTCCTAAGTCAGCCCCAGACTTCTTCCTGGGCTTCCTCCTGTGATCCTGGGAGCCAGGTTGAGGGTTTGCTCTGTCCCCTGCCTGCACTGCACAGCACCTTGTAAAGGGGAGCTCGTGGGCTGAATTTGGGAGGAGTTAGGGTGGTCAGGCAAAGCACCCATGTTCCTCCAATCTCATTCAAATCCCAGCTGCTCCTTAGAGAACTCGAAAGAATGGGTGATAAGTGTCTCCTTGGACCCCCTCTCTTCTGCCTCCTTGGTCTCCCTCTCTCGCGTCTCCTTGGTCTCCCTTTGTGTTAGCAGGAACTAAGGGGCCACCCCAAAGCGAGGCCTGCAGTGCAGGTGCTAGACTCTGATGGGCCATGCCATTCAGAGTCAGAGCTGCCCAGGTACCGAGGGCGGACCCGTGGCTTTCTCACCGCGGTGGGTCTTGGCCGAGCGACAGGCCGGGAGATCCCCTCGATCCCATTTTCTCTCTCCTGTCTCCCGGCCCTCTCTCCAGGCCAAGCAGTCCTTAGCTACGCTGACCAAGGACGTCCCCAAGCGGCATTCCCTCGCCATGCCGGGCGAGACGGTGCTCAACGGCAACCAGGAGTGGGTGGTGCAGGCGGACCTCCCGCTGACCGCGGCCATCAGGCAGAGCCAGCAGACTCTCTACCACTCTCATCCCCCCCACCCTGCAGACCGGCAAGGTGAGTCCTGCCCCCGGCCTGGCCCAGCCCTGGCTGCGGCGGCTTCTTAGGAGGCTACTGACCTTCCCAGGGCGGGGCAGGCAGCCTCTCCGTTCACACTGTAGCTGCGTGCGGGGGTGTGGGGCAGAGGCCACAGGTTTGTTGTAACTGAGAAGTCTAAGAGACGGACTTCAGGCACAGCTGGCTCCTGAAGACCAGATGATATCTGGGGCCCCCCGCCTCTCCGCTCCACCTGCCTCCATTCGGCCTCATCTTTAGGCCCTCTCTTTCCACAGAGCAGCAAAACGGTCTCCGGGAGTTTCAGGCTTTTAAGGTCTTTAAGTGCAAAAGTCAGAAGAAAGAAAAACTAAGCGCTTTCTCTGGGCGTATGGTAAATCCCGAAGAAGGACTCTGATTGGCCAGCCTGGATCACGTGCCCACCCCTGGACCAATGACTGTGTCTAGGGAGCGGGAACACGGATTTTCCAGCCTGGGTCTCATGGGATTCTTTGGCAGGGGAGACCGCAGGGCCTCGCAGTCACGGGGTGCATGGGAGGGCCACAAGTAAACGTCACACGTGTTCCCTCCGGGCACTGGTGGGAGGAAGGGTGCGGCCTCCGGGCAGCGTCTGTACCCACTGGCCGTGGTACAAGCCCGAAACCCCTCCGCCCGTCCGCAGCCCGCCTGGCTCTGTTCTCTGTCCCTGTGTTGAGTGGCTGCCTCTGGGCGACGCGTGCAAGTTGGGGGTTGGCCGCTGGCCTTTAGAGCCCGCAGGTGCTGCCGTCGCCCAGCTGGGTACCCAAGTCCCTGACCGCAAAGCCCGCTGTCCACCCCTCTCCCCCGCCAGCCCCCCACATCGAACCGTATGGCCCCTGGCAGGAAGGACGATCTTTGTCGTGATGCAGCCCAGTCCGCTCTCTGCTCCCATGCTGCCTGCGTACAGGAGGCCCTCAGTTCGTCTCGTCCAACAGGGAGTGAAATCGGCGGAAGACAGGCTCTTTGGTGGGGGAAAAGCGTGGGGAGAGCGGACGGTTGGGGGAGGCCTCTCTCAGGACAGGCGGAGAGACGTGAACGGTGATAACTCCTCCCGATGGAGCAGCGGGACCAGCCAAGATGGAGGCAGGAGGGAGATGGCCTGTGTCAGGCACTGTCAGAAAGCCAGTGTGATGTGAGCCAAGGCTGGTAGGGTGGCCGGGGCCACATCCCTTTGGGCCTTGGGGGTTCCCCCCCCCCCCCAAGGGTGACCAGATGCCCGGCTCTGCTGCAGCGTGAGGAATGGAGTCAGCAAGGACTCCCGTTCATTGGAGGCTGGGAGGCCACACGGTCTTCCGGGTGAGAGACGGCAGTGGCTTCGGCTTGGGTAATGACAGCGGGGTTGGAGAATAGTGGACGGATTTGGGGGTGGTGTTGGAGAGAAGTGGATGGATTTTGGGCGCCTGGGTGGCTCAGTCGGTTGAGCGTCCGACTTCAGCTGAGGTCAGGATCTCGCAGTTTGTGAGTTCCAGTCCCGCGTCGGGCTCTGTGCTGACAGCTCGGATCCTGCAGCCTGCTTCAGACTCTGGGTCTCCCTCTTTCTGTCCCTACCCTGCTCATGGTCTCTCTCTGTCTCAAAAATGAATTAATGTTAAAAGTTAAAAAAAAAAAGTGGACAGTTTGGGGGTTGTGTTTGAAGGTGCTGATGACTGGGTGCTGAGTGTAGGGGAAAGAGGGGACCCAGTGGTGGCCGCTAGGCTTCTCACTTGGGAAGCTGGTGTTGACCAGCGGTTAGGATTGAGCCAGGTCTAGGGAACGTCCAGCTGGTGAGAGCATGGTGAGGACAGTCATCAAGGTCCCTGGAAACTCGGGCCTCTTCTCCTTCACTGTGGTTAGGAGAGGGCCAACTCGGATCCAGAGGCCATGCCGGACCTTCCCAGGAGCTGCCGTTTAGCCGCGTGTGGGTCTGGGGAGCGGGGGGCAAAGGGCTAGACAGTCTCTTCTCTATGCCTCGGCATTCTCACCTGCGTAACAGGAGCACAGGGGCGCCACTGCAGGGCGGCACAGGCGAGGACATGCTCTCCACCCCTCACTCACCAGCTGTCCCTGCTTTCCAGCGGTCAGGGTGAGCCCCTGCCACTCGCGGCAGCCCTCTGTCATCTCCGACGCATCTGCCGCCGAAGGCGACCGGTCGTCCACGCCAAGCGACATCAACTCCCCTCGGCACCGGACACACTCCCTCTGCAACGTAAGGCCAGCAGCAGCAGGGCCTGGGCCCCGGGCCCTTGCCTGGAAACCTCAGGGGCGGGGTGGAGGGGTGAAGACGTACCCGCTGTTTCCTCTCGTCCACCCAGGGAGCACTCTGGCGAAGGCATTTCCTGTTCTGTTCTCTCCTTTTGCAAGAAGAGATGGATGTGGGGAGAAAGGAATGAGGCCTGTTTGCTCCTTGTGTCCGGGAGGGCCAGAAAAACCCAGAGGAAGGCGGGCCTGGGTCGGCTCAGGGTCCGTGCAGCCTGGATTACCTCTGGTCTAGGACTGCGGGCCTCTCCTCTCAGAGGTTCCTTCGGGGCCTTACCAGCACCCTTCACTTCCGTGGAGAGCCAGCTCTCAGTCCTTCATCCTGGGATAAGCCAGGTTTTGTTTTGTTTTTTAATTTCCAGGAGTCTGGGCAAATGCTACTTCTGGAGAGGTGTCCCACGAATTTGTTCTCGGTTTTTTTTTCTTTTGCTTAATCAAACGCTCTTTGATGGCATACTGGGCACCAGCTACCAAAAGGTGCGGGTCCCTGGCCACCTCACTCTTGGTGACTGGCAGAGCAGACAGTCGGGCTCCCGAGAAGGGGACGAAGGTGGGTCAGGCATCTGAGGACAGGAGGACACCATACGGAGGGTCGAACGGGAAACACTGGATCCGGGGTGTGGAGGCCACGCTACAGTTTTGTTCTGTCACATGGTTGATACTATGGAGGGCGGCTCCCCCTGCCGTGAAGGCAGAGACGCAGTAGAGTTAGGCGTTCAAGTGCATGAGAAAGCTTTCTCAAAAATTCACTTAATGTTTTATTAACCAGTGAGACTGATAGGAGGAATGAGGTGAATACGGTAGGAAAGAAAGACAAAATAACCATCACTTGCCACTGATCTGCTTTCCTAACCTGGAAACTCGAGAATAACCTCTAAAGCTATTAGAACCGATAATGACCAAGTACATTAACGGGACTGGTTGAAAATCAGCGGCTAAAAATCAGTAACTTTTCTATGAATAATCGTACTGGAAACTCTCGTCCAGTCTACGAGAACAATGGGGAGTAGCTAAAGACTACCGATCGGGGCGCCTGGGTGGCGCAGTCGGTTAAGCGTCCGACTTCAACCAGGTCACGATCTCGCGGTCCGTGAGTTCGAGCCCCGCGTCGGGCTCTGGGCTGATGGCTCGGAGCCTGGAGCCTGTTTCCGATTCTGTGTCTCCCTCTCTCTCTGCCCCTCCCCCGTTCATGCTCTGTCTCTCTCTGTCCCAAAAATAAATAAACGTTGAAAAAAAAAAAAAAAACTACCGATAAAAGTAGCTAAGCCTGAAATTAAAACAGTTGCCTTCACCTGGCAACACGGACCGTGGGGATCGCTGGCCCAGGGCTTCATTCAGCCCAGGCAGGATGCCAAGAAGGTCACTTCGGGCCTGAATCCCACTCAAGGCTGGGATTCTTTGTTAACTGGGGCTTTAAGGAAGCAATCTGTTCTTCTCTAGTTCCCACGACAGAACCCCGTGACAGAGGTGGTCTTGAATGACAGAACGAGGGCCACTAGAGGGCCTCTGACATCTGTCCTCTGGTTCTGCGGGACCACTGTTGGGCTGTACTCAACAGCCAAGGGTCCCCTCATTCTTCGAGCATGGGCCAGAGACTTAAGAGTAGCCATGCACACCCCAAATGAGAAGACCTCCCCAGGGGCCATATTTTGTCTTCTTGTGGTGGGCCCAAGGGGGCTCTGATAGCCAAAATCCCGTAGGAAAGCCCATTCTCAGCACGGGTTCTCTAAAGACCTCTTGAATTGCATTTGGCCTAGCCTTTTGCTCAACTTGGCCTTGACACATACCGGCTGCTACAGGTGGCAGTCCAGCATATTTATTTCCGAGATCACAGGGGCCCTGCTGCCAGGAAATGGGTGCTTTGATAAGCCAGTTGTCTGCACACAGCTATTTCAGTGGGCACTGGCTTCATTCTCTTCACCATTAAAGTAGACCTATCTCAGTGGCCCGCCAGATTAGTTTCTGTTTGCAAACCTTGGGCTGGGACTAAAGACTAAACTAGCATTTGTTCCATTCCCGCCCACCCTCAGCCACGTTCATCCCCCATTTCAACAGATGTGCACACAGGTAAGCCAAGAAGAGCCTAGAAAAAGCACCAGGTAACCCTCTGTTCTCGGACCTTGGACCTGGTACCAGCAAGAACAGCCCAGCCCAGACTAAGGACTTCCCCATCCTCTTACTCTGTGGCCACTAATTTAGAGCAGAGGTGGGGACCAAGTGCAAGGAAGCTGAAGATTGATGGACTTCGGCCCAAATGACATACTTTGTTTTTTTCATGGATGTTTTGCCTGCAATTCTGGAAGCCACCATCAGAGGGCCCCCCCCCACTAATGACTTGTGATCCCAGGGATCCGTTAGCCCCCCAGGCAGGGCAGCCAGAGTCTGGGCTGTAGCGAAGGCTTTGTGTACAGCCACCTTTGCGTGCCCACGGAAGGAAGCACTGGACCAGGAAGAAATAGTCCCAGATCTGTTCCTGTTCCGCTTACAATTAGTTCCATCACGTTGGATTGTCCAGAGCCTCTCTGTATCTGTAAATCAGGCTGAGCCCTGCCTGCACCTCCAGAAAATAAGAGATGCATTGAAGTGTGGGGGGGGATTAGAAGCTACATGGTCTCCCGTGTCTTCCTGTCCTGAAATTCTTTTTTGTGTTGTCTTTAAAACCATATTTCTTTATGAAAAATCGCAAGTATAACCAACCTCCAATCCCAATTTGATGGACCAATTGGGACAGGAACTTAGAAGCCTTCAGTTGACTGATCTGTTGCTCAGCGGGTGTTGGGTGGGGGAAGGGGGTCATTGAGAGACCTGAGTAGGCAAGAGCACCCCAGGACCTCTGGACCAGGCAGCGTCTTGAACCCCAGGTGCCATTGCTGAGCCATCTGGGAGTGTCTGCTTCAGGGCGGGCGGGGGTGGGTTCCCCAGCACAGGCAGGGTGGTCCCTAAGAGAGGGCTTCCTTCCACAGAAGGCCCCACGCTCCACGGGCCACCTCTGCTCCCATGTGTCTCGCGTCTGTTTCATCTTCTCCCTCTTTTTGGCTGCAGGGCGACAGTCCCGGCCCAGTTCAGAAGAACCTGCACAACCCTATTGTACAGGTAGGTGTGCCTCCCCTGGCCATTTGGGCCCACTCCCCCCACCCCTTGTTCCCCTGGGCCCTCGGCATCCCCACTTCCTTTCTTGGACACCCAAGGCAGAGAAGAGTTAAGCCACTGCTTCAGTCAATCCAGGTTTGGCGTCTGAGCCAGGCTCAGTGCCTCATCTGCCCTCCCCTATCCTCTTTCCAGTCCGTGGACCCACTAAGTGCATCATACATCCTCCGTCCCACTGCCCTGGTGAGTGGCTCCTGGCAGCCAATGGTTGATGACCCAGGCCAGAGGCTCACTGGGTCCCTTGCTGCAAGAAACTGTTCTTTCAGTACCCTGTCAGCAGTGAGGAGGGGAGGGGACCGCAGGCAGGAAAACCTGAACTGAGAGTCGAGAGGGGTCTCTGAGACGGACTCTCTAGTCCTGGGGTTCCCAGGTGCTGGTCTGTGCATGGCACATCTCCATCAGGGTCCACCAGAAAAGACTTTGCAAATGCAGATTCCGGGGGCCTTTAAGCCTGAAGGATCTGAGCCCCCAGGTATGGGATGGGTCCTGGAATTCAGGTAATTCTGGTGTGTTTTGGGCACCATTAGTCTAACCTCCACCTTTTGCCCAATGACACTCCATGTCTTTGTGTAAGGCACTCGACGGTTTGTAAAGCCCTCCTATAGACACCACCCTCTGGCCCATTAGCCCGCACAGGAGGCTATCCCCGACATCACTGTGGTCTCCACATCACAGCTGAGGAAACTGGACTCAGAGAGAGGCAAGGGGCGCTCCAAGAGTCCATGGGTAGTGACCTAGTTAGGACGAGAACTCAAGCTCCAGCCTCCCCGCTCTAGTCCACCCTCTTGGCCAAGGCCTTAAGGTCCAGGGCCCTTGCTCGTGGCTGGCACGAAGCTCAGGTCGCCCCCTTCCTCATTTTCCGGGCTCCCCTGGGGCTCCTTTCCCATGGGGACTTTGTTTTTACAGGCAACCTGTACCCCTGCCGCAGTGTCCCCGCAGACGAGGCCTGGGGCCCAGCGGGAGCCAAGTGCACAGACGCGCTCCTGCAGGCCCTCAGGAAGCACCCCAAGGGTGTGGGCAAACTGACAGCTGTAGAGCGGCAGCCAGCGATCATTTAGGGGGTTATTATAACCCGGCACTGCTGTAAGCACGGTGGTCCTCGCTGCCACCCTCACAGCGGCCTTGGGTGGGTCCCGCCGTGGTCCCAGAGAGCTTCCGCAACTGGCCCAAGTGGGCTCCGCCAGCGAGGAGGGGCAGACCCTGGCATTTCACCCACCCGTGGCCCC